AATGTAGTTTCATGTTACAGTTTGAAGTCATTCTAGAAAAAAAAAAAAGGTAAATTTAGGTTTATTTAGATTTTTTTTTGGTGGATATGAGGTGGGTCAAATTGACCAATCCCATTTTGAAATAGGGTAGAGAAAGTAAAAAATAAACTATAAAGTTTTATTGAAAAAAAAACAACATTTGAAATCCATTTAGGAAATTTTAGGGATTAAACAAAGGAAATTTGAGATTTTTGATATGATGAAAACTATTTTTAATTTTAACACGAAAATTTCTTTGCACACGGACTATTCAAAACAAATACTCAATATATATTCATGGATAAATCTATATTTTATTAAAAATATGATTTTTTTTATGTGAAAGACACATAATGTTAACTGAAAGACTGTCAAATTTCGTGAAGATATACCCAATATATTGAGAGTTATAAGTATTAAATTTATAAAGACTTTAAACAAGTACAAAATGTCCTGTGACTCGGTCAAATTGACCAATCCCGTGTTGAGAGAGTTAATGCCAAATTTATTAACAAACATTAATAATGAAGTTGTTTAATTAAATATTGAATGTCATGATATGCATGCTTTGACCAAGTCAAGCACAGAGGATTAAGTGCACCAAATTTTTATATGTATTACCCTTACTGAGATGGGTCTTCCTATGGTCATGGGTCAAACAAAGGCCATGTCATCACTTTTGTAGACTTACATTCATCTACTATTTTATGAATGTATATCAATAAGTTTGGTATCAAATTGGAGTTTATAATTCAAATTTTAGTATTGTACAGTAGTTAATTTCTTAATTCAAAAGCAATTATTCAAAAAACACCTAATTATCAATTTTTGTGTGTCACATGGTATGTTGAATGCAGCATTGTTTCAAATTAGATGTTTATTATGTAGAAATTATAAAATCTATAGTTTTTTACAAATTTAAAACTCAAATTATCGATTTTGACAAGCTAGAATATAAAATAAGAACCTCCCATTTTTTCTATTTGCTGAGGTATTACTAGATTTAGTGAATCAAAGACACTGGCCCCACCCACCTATTTCCATTTGTGAAAATGCTTATGTACGCCTACTTTTGTTATTGGACATGTAAATAACCAACTGAAAGCTAAGAATGTTCCCCATGTGCCTCAGCAAAGTATTTACCCGGGAAGCCCTGTCTTTTCATAGTAGATTACAAATGGTAAGATAAGTTATTATTGAGCTAAAAAAATCATATTTTATTTAGACCCAAATACAGCTTAACTACTAAACCTGATAAATTATAGTGGAATTCTGTGGTATTTATATTGTAATTTATGATTTTTTGATATTTCAAAATGTATATATAAAACCTAAAAGAAAAGTATTTATACATTCTCTACATGCAAAATTTGATAAGGCTTAGCAAATATGTACAAAGTTCATAACTAAAAGAGATAATTGTTTTCTATACTTCTTTATTTATTGTTTTATATTATAAGAAAAATAAGTGAAATTTAAGAACTTATTTGTAAATAGTAATTATGTATATGCATATATAATGTATTATAACCCAAAATTTGACTGTATTTTACAAAATACTGGTCAACTAGAAGACAGCCAAGACAGGTCACTATTTATATTATTGGATACGGTAACACGAGTGCACACCCGCCACATCATTCAACTTCTGTGTCGTTAGTCAGACACTACTGAAAGGTCTTTAAAATATAAAATATTTTTATATATGTGAAATGCTATGATATTTAAGCTATTTAGACTAAACATTTGTGTTTTCGTGTTATAATCTGTAGTAATTCTAGAACAAAAAAGAAAAAAGCTTAATTTATATTTATTTCATATTTCCTTTTGGTGGTTACAAGGTTAGAAGAATCAACCAAAACCAAACAAAGATACAACAGTGAAGATAACTTATAAAATATAAAGTTTTCCTTAAAAAAAAAAACGTTTGATAATTATCTGGAGGATATTAAGAGTTTATGGAGATTTTGCATGTGAAATTTGACAATTTTCTGATGCATAAAAGTATTTTTAATCTTATAATCAAAATTACTTCGCACATTGGATAGTCAGTATTAAAAAATAAAAAATGCACAAGCAAACAATTAATTAAAAAATCTGATATATTGTGCATGAATACTTTGTAATGTTTACTTCTGCAAACTTTCATGAAGATACGTGTAAGTTTTGAAAAGTTACAGTATAACTGCTTTATGGTTACTTTCGGGGATACAGGCTGGGTGGAATCCACCCACCCGTATTAGAAGAGTTAATAATATCCTTACTTATCAATTCTGACACAATTTCCATCCATCAAGAGATTTAACCAATTGGGTGGCAAGTTTTCTTGGAAACTTTCCTTGTATTCAAACGGGACCCTTGTACTCCACACTCCATTTGGTCGATTTGATACCAACTAGAAAAAGTATATGCAGAGAGAAATAAAATGTATAGAAAAAAATCAATAAGGACAAACTTCAGTTCATCTATAGTTTAGAAACTAAATATTGCAACTCTTGAAAGCAGGTTCAACCAATCCACAAATTTTCAATAACACTTGAAAAAACAAAAACTCATTATACAATGAGGTGTTTATTAGAAATCTTACTGGAATGTTATGAAAATATTGACTTATTTCAGTTCTTTCTTTTCATAACATTCCAGTTAGATTTATCCTAATAAACAATTCATTTTTTATAGTTCTCAATAATTTGCCTAGGTGTTTGGAGGGGAATGACAGAATGATTGTCCCACAATTTAGTTAAATCCTTACTTCTTTAATTGTCTTAAAATAAAAAGGCATGGAAATATTTTATATAAGCATTCCCAAAGCAATAATAATAAATCAATTAATAATTTGCAAAACTATAAAAAGATATTCCAGCCATAATTGATGTAAAATAGGGGTGCTAGCCTTACAAAATCAATCTGAGCAGAAAAATGATAATTCAATTTCTGCAGTTACTTCCCCATCATAAGTATAAAATGCATAGTTTTCACTTGTTTTGGACAATATATTGTATGTGCTGCCAACTGGCATCATATTCAGAATTTTTTCAACACCCATACTTGGCAAGAGTCCTATATCAGGACACCATTTGTAACTGATTTGCTTTATGTTTTTTGTTTTATTTTCATCTTCAGTTTTCTTTATGAGAATCACTTAGCTATTAAACTTACCTGACATTTGTTCTTTTGTAGCTGGTCTGTGTTCCTGATATTTGTGGTCATTTACTGTTATGGTTGTGTCCCAATATATCACAGTTTCATACTGGGATGCAATTATTATTTTGTATTGTAATTGCTGTGGTTGATTTTTTATTTTCACTTTCACTTTAATGGTCTAAGTAGAAAACTTTTCTATAATTTTTTCTTCTTCTATTTCTTTCAATTTCTTTGTTGTGAGGGTGGTGTCCCAATATTGAACTTTCTTCCTGTGTTTTTCATTTTGAATATTTGTGTAAGACTAGTCAAGAGTTCAAGGCTCTAGTCTATCAGCCCAAAAGTAAAATAAGGCATAGCTGCTACTCAGTAGCACCCATTGCAGTAAAAGGTAGCAATTAATGGATCTACAGGCCCACAGTCTGACATGGTCATGTTTGCCCTTGATTTTTTATATTCATATTTTTGGTTAGATGCTTTTTGTTTAGACATCTTTCAAATGAAACTAATATAGCTGTCACAGCTTCTGCATGTGAAAACTATCATTATGATTTCTGATTGACCAATAATATTTTTTAGTTTTACATGTGTTTGAGTCTGGTTTGAGTACAGCTTCACAGAAAACAAACATTCAAATTACTACAATCTAAATGCTGCTGCTATTTTATTTCACCAACTAACAAATTTAGAAGACTGTGTTATACCAAACTTAAAAAATACAAAATATTCAAACTTAAATGCTATGATTGTAGTATTGCATTCTGCAGTTAGAAATCATAATGGTTGGAATCTCTGAAAAACTAAATTTCAGTGGTTTATTTATTTATTTTTATCAGTGACAAAAATATGTCAATTCAGTTTGCCCAATTAACTTTAGCTTTCTGAAAGATCACAACACACACAAAATTCATTGAATGCATATAATTATGTGATACAGAAACAAGAAATGGAAATATGAGCTGATGAGATTGTAGTGCTTGGTTCCCTTTGTGCAATAAAAAAAAGTATTGGTTTTATAGCTTCAAAGTACATTAAAGATTAAAAACGTAAGATGATGCATACAGGAATAAATAGCAGGGAAGCCACCTTGGAAGTTATTACTAATAATATTCACCATAATATATAGTTTTAGTCATGTTTTTTAGTGCACACCTACATAGTACAGGAATAGCTTCTACCAATATTTGTATGCCTATATATA